GTTTTAACAGGTTTTTTTGCAGTATCGAAAATCGCTTTAAACCTTGACCACATACTTGACAAATAATAATTGACATACAATCAAAACGGATTTTTAAATTGCATTCTCCTTTTGATATAATCTACTATAAGTTAATATATACGAAGTAGCTGATTTTCATTATAATTATGACTTATTAGCTGAATGTAAAGTGTGAAAAAATTGTCTAGACTGAAATTGAGTGAAAATGACTAGGGACTTACTATTATATAATGCATAGTCATTTCTATTTTAATAAGATGTACAATTGTACACACATTGGCCAAAGTATGTTCAATAATCGAAACCCCAGTTTTGGTACTGAGCCCCATTAATTGAATAATTTAAAGACTTTTTTAAGACCATCCAATACAATCTAAATTAAATTCATCATCACGTGACTATTTTTGCTTAAATTCGATAACACTGAAAATCCATTAGCCAATGAATCCACTTCAAATGGACTGTTGGACATTTGCAATTGCCTTCGCAAACGTCTGCCAGTGTTTATAGACAATATTTGTGTTTGTATTTTGTGTGAATACCATTCAAATAATCTCTTCTTCATTGGATTTGATGAATTGAAGGGATTTTCACACAGCACAAAATATATCCTAATCAAATGTGCTAGGCAAATATCTATTGGCCAAACAGAAAAAAAGTTGAAACGTAAAATTGGAATTAATGCTAAACAAATGAAGGCATCATAATGTCATCATTATTATTTATTCAAATTGAGGGGAATTAAAAATATCACATTGAGCATAAGTGATTAGAATAGATGATGTAATGTTGAAAGCATTAACTCCTTTCGATCCATTAGGATTCATTCGGTCGGCGCCTGTTTATAGGATTTCCCGATTTGAAATTCAAATTTAGAATCTTATGAAATAAAAAAGTAGAATTCGGTTTTTTTAATGACATGAAAGTTTACCATATACATAAAGATTGGCCAATTTAAAGTATTAAATATCACTTTTGTAAACGATGAATATATATATACATATGTTTCCTGAGTACAGTACGTAAAATTCCCAAAGATCCTTTTTCATTTTTATGGTTTGTTTATATGTATGCTGGACAAACAAAGATTTCAACAAAAAAAAGTGAATGTGTGCGTGGTCATGCATACATTTATATAAGGGAGATTAGTAGGAAAATGCATAATGTCGATTGTCGTTTTTGTTTGTTTTCCATTTGGCCCCTTCAATGCAAGCAAAGTGAGAGCACTGGCAATGCGCGAACACACATACACAAAAGATGCCACACAAGATGGCTTTCAAGGGGCACAAAAAATATCGGTAATACCAAACAATTGACAGCTATGTTTATCAATTTGGGTTTTGTTTTGATTTTTAAATTCAATCATTGTGTACTCGACGCATTGCTGTGTCACATTTATAAAAGGTCTGATAGGCCGTATTTCCAGATTATAATGAAAAATTCAGATATACATATACAACGCACATATGTGTACACTGTACAGCCGTACACATATCGTGGATCGAAGGCATTTTCAGAATGTTTGTTTTACGTGCGTTCAAACATTTCATGCATTCGGTTTTAAATCAATACCATATATGAAAGTTTGCTTACTGATGTATATTTCCATGTTATGCTGTCTACTCCGATGCCATTGTACTTGCTTTCGATATTTTATTTATGTTTTTTCCGAATCATTTTCTGGAGAGAGTAGGGGAGAGAGAGAGAGCGAAAGAAAGGGATGGAGAGAGACAGAGTTATATCATAAAAAACCTTGATGATATTGGGAGAGTGTCAACTGTTATTATTTCCAATTTTTGATGTGAGTCATAGTAAATAAAAATGTTATTTTTCAATGAAAAATGTCAACGAAATGATGCCACAGCGAATTGACCGATTGTGAAGTTTGCTCATGAGGTACCGTTGTGTTTGACAAGAATCTGTGAAAGGTGAAAAGGCAAAGAGGCTGTCAAAAATGACATCATGATTTTGATTGAGGAAATCAAATTCACAGATTCTCCAAAACCATGTTTTATTCTCCCAAAGAATATTTTGAACGAGTCATTGAGGGTTTCATTTTAAACATTTTTTTGATTCAATTACAATCGAATGATATGTTTTTTGATCTAGCATTCTTAACACTTGATAACGTAGTTCTTGTGATTCATTTTCATTTCAATATAAACATTTATGAATGCAATTAAAAGGTGAACGAAGCAATTAATGCCAACAAGCTTGAGAATTTGGTGTTCAAAAACGAATTGGATGATTCAAGTAGCATATTCACACTCCCATAAAACGGTCAATAATACGATGTGTGTGAAAATGCATAAAAATGTAATTTCGATCATCAATCATAAAGTGTTGCGTGACTTGGACAGCTCATACAATTCGCTTAATGATATCAAATATCTTAATTTATAAGTGATGAATATAGCATCAATGGGCTTCATTCAGTATTTTCACAAAGTTGAATGGAACATGAACGAAAGACACTTTTCGCTATTCGATCTATTTGTGCATTTGACGATAACAAATCACTGACATTCCATATTACCTCATTCAGCTATTCATCATCTTGCTAGACTAATAATATATGCTGTCAATAAAATCGATCTACGATGAAATTCGTATTCCATTCCGAATAAAAATGAATTCCGAAGTCGTTCACACCAATATTGCTTGCGAGAGAAACCTCGATTTTTTCTGGAACAATAGTCGAAACAAAAGCATGGCCATGGTACTTCATGATAAAATGTAGCCGATGGAATATGGTTCGCTTTTCGAATGAAGGAATCCCTTAGATAGTTAAAAACGGCCATCAAGAGTATAATTTGTGTTTGCAGAATTGCAAACACGTAGTAGTTTGTCTTTATTTTCAATTTGTCAAATTATTATCTATTTATGATTGGCCATATCCAAAAGTGTATAGCATTTATTTAACAGAGTGTGTAATAAAACTTGTTTATTTCAGATTTGTGGCCTCTTAGGCACAAATGAGTTTCACAAATATCCCAAATATGCATTTCGAAAAGCATAGCTAAGTCACAAAGAAATACACGGAAAATAGAATGCGCATTGCGTAGCATAATCCAATTCCGTTTTAGTATTATTAAAATAAATCCGCATCCAACATACTAAGGAGTCCAACCAAAATCATTTATATGTCTTACACATATCCCCCAATGTTTGTGCCACAACAGCAACGAGATAAAAAAAAAACGGATTTATTTTTGTTATTTTATTTATTGTAACTGTGTACTAACGCCCAGCACATACAAAGAAAATAGCAGTAAGCACTCCTTTATGAATGCCATTCTATTTGCACTGTCATATATGGCTTTTGTTTATATTGATATTTTGTCATCGCTATTATGACTCGAATGGGGTGGTGTAAAAAGGTGTTTGTGAGCAAAATGAAAACAGATGCTGTGTTGGACATAATAGTCGCGTATTGGTATTATTGTCATTGCTTTTAGTGCAATTGTGTTAGGACACATTTATATATGACCGACATGTAATTGGACACCAGAGACACTGTTTCTAATCGTCAAATACTTGCTTGTTGCGTTTAACCCTCGATTCGGTTTTGGACTAACGAAATTATTGGCAATCATCAATTGCCACAGATTTAAAATTAACTCAAAACATGGGAGCATGGCGATTTTCCCGCAATATCCACCCAATTTCACGTTAAAGGGTTAAGTGTCTACCAAAATTACTGTTTTCTCTTCGTTATACACCCCATTTCGTTTTTCCGCGTTCTTCCACCAATTCGTTCTTCTGCATGGCGCAAAGTTTTTTATCAGTTACAAAGGATTTTTTTCTGTAATTTTTATTTTTTGAGTAAGTGTTTGCTAACCGTGTTGATGATGTGCAAGAATTGTGTGGTAAGGCACGAATTTGCATGTACTGTCATTCAGTTAAGAGTATATGCACGAAATAATGAAATTACTATGTCAATATGTTTGTTAACAATGCCCACCAGTGTCCGGTTTAAAATTAGTCGTCGGCCCAGTCGGCAGAGTCATTTACTATTAATGTTCATCGTTTTCAAGACAATTATGCATTTTTCGAAATTAATAATAGATGAACGGGGAAAATTGACCATTTTTCCTGTGTAACTATATTTTCATTGTTATTTGAAACTATTTTTTTTATGGAAAAATTGAAGCCCATAAGAACTTTAGAGATTCATAGTACATATTGCATTGCAAATAACCTAAAACTTTGACCAATGTCATTGGTTTAAATCGTATTGTGTCTAAAATTCCCGATGTAATATGAATGAGGTTGTAAATTGTAACATTTCACATTTTTAATGTTGCGATGAAGTGAAAAATCAAAAGAATTTAAAATTACAATATCCGGCTTTGCAGGTGTTTGTTCAATAAAAAGAAACATTGTTGTTGAAAGTATCTCTAAAGATACTATATTGAACATAAAAGTGTGAAAAAGCGACACAACAAAATAAAGGTCGAACTTAAAACGTCTCGTTGCGAGTAATATCGTTTATGTTATAAAATAATGTATTGCGATATTGATATTGATATAACATTTTGTAAATGGTTGAAACTTGAAAGAGACCCATCAATCGCATTGGTTATGAATATTTAAAGCTTCTAACACCTGTCCTGTACAGTTGCATAAAAGAAAATTGTGTCTGTCCCTGATGGACAGTAGTAGTTGTGAAAAATTTGGGCCATTTCTCTCTCTCTCTCTCTCTCTCTCTCTCTCTCTCTCTCTCTCTAGATAATATAAAGTGTGTTTCATTCGAAAACTTTTATAAATCTATTATGAAGCATTAGGTACATATCTGGAGAGGCTCTTTTTAATAACGGCAAAATGAGGTTTAAATTGGCATGAATGGTGACAGAACGAGAGAGAGTAAGGTAGCGAGATCACCGGAGATATATGAAGAGGGAAGAGGGCTCACCAAGACAAATACTGTCGAAGTTTAAAAAAAAGATGAACAGAGTAAAAAAAGTGAAATAAATTACCTGATGCGAACAACAAGAAGAGAAGTGTTGTCGTCGCCAGAACAGAACAACCCATAAAATTTATATCCATTATTTTCGGTTGACTCGGTATCAGCAGCATTTCTAGTTCAATTTAGTGTTTGACAAGACACCGGAGTAGCAAAAACGACCACAACGCCACACCGGATAATGTTTGATCATGAATTTTAGATTTTTATGATGATGTGTAGTTGTTTAACGTTGATAGATAACGTCGGTTTGTTGACTTCGTAAAAGGTGTTCAAGTAGTATGGATTTTTTTTTCGAAAAAGAATAAATGCTTTACGTCTTGCAATATGATGACAAGAGCCTGGGTAAAACTGTGTTGCATTGAGATCAGGTGCACACTACATACACTACTGCTACTCTGTTTTCTCGTTAATAACACGATAATTTGTTTTTTTAGCACATTCAACTTGAAAAAGATGGTACACTTTAACTGTGTCTTTTTTATGCACTTAATCAATGTTCTTTCCGTTATTCTTCAACAAAATGTCTCTTTTCTTGCTGACATTCTATTCACAATTTGTTTTGATTCAAAAAGCAAACGAATACAAGCAGATTCTCAAAAAAATCGCTCGGTAAAGTTTTTTTTTATAGTTTCAACTATTCCACCGAAATAAACTCATTTTCATTGACTGCATCGAGCATTCACATTTCCAATATCCGTAAAATGGTGTACCTCCAGAAGAGCTGAAAATAAATACGAGGTTGAGTAAATTGAGTTAAAAATACATTCACAAACAGGAGTAAAAGAATTTACAAAACGATATAAAAGTGAAAATTGCTTATTAGAGCCTATAGGTAGAAAATTTAAACTGAATGCTTAGTTGTGTTCTTCTCCAAGCATTTTTCGTCAATAAACCTTTTTGTTCGCATGGAACAAAAATGTAAAAATATAAATATTATGCTATTTATCAGAAGTTTTTCATGCATTTTCACCTACAATCCACATTGCAAGCACGGAGATGAGATGCGATGATTGGCTGGATAAAAAGGCAAGGAAAATGTGTGAAAAGCACTTTTCATCGTATGAAGAACGGCATCGTTTTGGAAGAAAACATTGAGAAACACATGTTTCTGTTATACGCGCATTCTTTAAATATTCATTAGAAATTCGCTTAACGAATATTTTGTGGCAACAAAAAAAAACTCTCCGAAAAAGCCGCATGCATAGCGACGACAATGGGGAAAAACAAGAAATAATGGGAAAAAACACAACATAAAAGTTGGAAATAATTTGAAACCCCCTCATTGGTTTCATATTTGTACTAGAGAATTACTAATTGCCAACGTATTCTGAATATTTTATAATCTCGCAAATAAATTCAATCTTTTGACGGAAGTTATTATTATTCTAGCAGACGGTTGTGTGAAACATTCACTTCATACTAAGACAAAAGAGCAACATTTCCGTGAACTATACAATAACTTTGACCGCCACATAAGAAAGCGTATGAAAGTATTCGACTGGATTAGCATTTATTCGTATGAAAATTGAATACGGAATTCATTCACCTGAACTCATTATCATTAAGATATATTTATTCATTCTCATAGATTTCGATCCTATACACATGGCTCATTCTGATTGAATTGCCGTCCATTTTTGTTCAAGAATTGATATATTTTTCAAATTAATTTCCCTGACGCCAAGTATGCTTTCATTTCAGAATCGTGCAAAAACTTTGCTATAGATACGGTATGGTTTGATGGATCGATGTACACACCTATTTGTACCAGATTAACTTAATAATTCTATTTGTGCGAGAGTGCCAGATAGATTTTCATTTTTTTTATTTGAATGACATTGTATGTTAGATTGGAATTCTAATTTTAGTACAGAATACTAATTTTAGAACCTCACCTATTCATTTCCCCTGGGACAAACAACAACAGTCAAACAGGCGGAAATATCTGGAATTATTCATTGTGCATACAAAATACTGGGGGACCCAGTACGGGGAAATCAGTAATGTGCGAGCTACATTTTACAGGGGGGGGTGATTTTTCAAAAACCAAAAATTCTCTAGCAAATCAAACAAATTTTCGTTTTTTTTTTTTTTTTGGAAGTCACTTTTGAGGCGAAAATCCCTAGCAAATCGAAAGAATTTTCTCCGCGAAAAACCTTAGCAAATCAGAAAAAAATCTCTCGGAACCAAAAACCCTAGCATATTTAAAGAATTCTCCTCAATTTTCTACATTGATGAGCTAAAAAAAAAAAAAAAAAAAGGTCTTCACTTTTTTCATGAAAAACCCTAGCAAATTCGAATAATTTTCGCGAAAAAAATTTTCTCATTCAAATCACAGGGGGGGGTAAACCACCCCCCTACCCCCCCCTTCGCACATTACTGGGGGAAATATAGCTATCTTCACAGATAGTTTGGGAGCCATAACTGATCTTAAGAATATTAAGATGCAAAATGGCTTGGCTATGAACTGTTACGAGGCACTCCAGCGCATTTCTGAAACGAACAACCTTAGGGTGGTTTGGATCAAATCTCATACTGGTATTCGGGGGCATGACCTGGCAGACGGGGCGGCAAAATTGGCTGCACACGATGCAATAGAGGGTCCAGAACCATACATACCAATTGAATATTCACGAGTCAAGAACCGATTAGCTACTTGGCTCAGCAACAGATCCCGCCTAAATTGGCAGGGTACGTTCTCATGTGAGCAAACGAAACACTTCGTTCAATTCACATGTTCAAAACTCACGGTGGAATTAGCCAAATTGCCCAAGGAAGAACTCCGGATGGTAATTGGTTTACTTACCGGGCACGCCAGGGTCAATTCTCATATGAGAAATCTAAATCTCAGAGACGACCCGGACTGTAGACTGTGTGGTGGAGAAGGGGAAACCACTGCCCACCTCATAGATAGATGTCCAATGTTGGATACCATACGGGCTGACTTCACGGGCTGGAGATCCTACCCTTTGATTCATGCACCGAGTGTATTCAAATTGGTAACGTTTTTCAAACGGGCATGCGATGACAATCCATGCCTTAGAAACATTTTTGGATAAAAGACTATTCTCGTGTATTCAATACACACACGGGCGTCTTGCAATAAGTTATGAAACTTGAGCAACGAGTAACTATATTAAAACTTACTGTTTAAATAGGACACTCCCCGTTTTAATCCAATAATCCAATAATCCAAATTTTAGTACAATGTCTGCTTTTAAATGCCATGGCTTTCTTTTAACTGATAAAATACTTCAAATCTTCTTCTAAAAAACAACACGCTCAGCGACAGAATATTTACACTGTCATTTGTATACAACAACAATTATATTATTTAGAATGAATGTAGTAAATGTACGTCTGACAGTAGATTTTTTCGCTTGATTGTTTTTTTTTACAAATGATTTAAAAAATATCAATAAACACAATTTGTTTTTATTATAACAATATTACCGCAGAAACGAAATAAAAGTATGTTTATTACGCTGTTGCTAAATTATAACTGAGCAAAATTATGAAATTCTACTGTATAAACTTGTGGCATATGTAGATGTTATCAATCCTGTTAATTTTATTACTTTAATCTAAAATTTGAAGTCCAAATAATGCTTTATTTAAAATTCGATAAACGAAGACGAAACTAGACGAAAAGTATTTTGATATATTTTTTCAACTAATGAACCCCTTCCTTTGTTTATTTTTTGACCTTTATTTTTTCCATGGAATAAAAAAAACTAATTCGGATATGTTTCAAGGAGCATTGCTGATGTAATACAAAAAATATAATGTCTTACATCCGTGAGATAAACTTTTCCACACTGTGATCTACGACATATCTTTTCATAAGGGGCTACTGTAACTTTGAATTCACAAGAAAACTGAATCTGACGTTAATTTTACAATACAAATAATTAATGAATTTGGAATTTAGTTTCATCGACGAAAAAAAATGTCGACGAAAGTGGGTTTTGTCCAGTAACAACACAGTTGTCTTCATTATTTTTCTTAAACAATTATTCATAATCATTATCAGTAGATACGTGTTACTAGCTAGACTAACATCAAATAAATATGTATCATATAAAATTGTATTAACGATTACAAAAATATCTATAGACGCGAAATGTTCAAAATAATGAGCAGTGTGCAATAGGCAGCTTAGTCTTTTTTTCGTGATAACGAGGTCTAGAATCAACTGCTTTATTTGTTGAAGATTAAATATTAAATGAATAAAAGAAGTGAATATTTGGTTCCATTTTCATGAATTATATTATATTATATTATATTATTGTTAGTGGATTATTTCAAGCGCACTGACATTTTTTCCGTTTAGAGTTGAGTTTTTTCTAAAAAATATTATCAAACAACTTTTTGACATTGAGAAATGTTTTTTTCCTCGATGAATAGTAGAAACGAAATAATATTTATCTTCAGTGGTTGCAAACTCTTCAGGTAATACGGTTTCATGCGATTAGATTCGGCGCGTCAACTGATCAAATGAGTTTTTTATTGATTTTTATATATTTTTTTTTCTAAAAATGTTTCATTTGAAAATATAGTTTGTTTTCCAAAAAAACCTGCTTAAAAATTTACTGTAGCAAAGATTTTAAATAAAGAATAAATCATTTAAATCAATGAAATATTTGTGATCAATGAAGATCGTATTTGTTGAATTCTCTTCGCATCAAATATCTTCTCACCATTCGACGGTGAATGAAAAATCTTGTATTAAATTATCTACCTTGTATATGACAATATAATTTGTATGGTTTCCATGAAAATTGTATTATATTCTCGAAATAATGTGAAACAATAATTAAACCGAGTTATTCGAAGTAGATATGAAAATCATGACAATAGTCAAAAGAAAGTCTATGTGATAATGAGCGATGATAGTATTGCTTGCTGAAAATGCTGACATACGAGCGTGCCTTTCTTGCATTACCACCATTGATCAAACGGAGAATACATCACCAATTACGCCATAATAATGGACTTGTCATTAATCAATAGCTCTATTTAAATGCAAGTTAAATATCTTTTGAATGGGTCACGTCGTTGATGTTTAATCATGATTTTGTGATTTCTATCATCGCATGAAAGTCGACACAATGTTATATATATTCCACATGTATGGTTTCATTTTGCAATGAGCCTATATCAATTACAATCTAATACAAAACTCTCTCTTTCTCCCGTATTTCGCCTGTGTACATAATACATTGTATTTTACGTCTTCATTGTGAGTTCGCATCGATGCATCGAAAAGTTCAATGCATGAAAGCGTTTTCGTTCCGTTGTTCCGTCAATTGTGTCAATTGAAGTGTATTAAAAAAACATACCATTTTTTTTTTCGTTCATCTAATGACGGCACGAAATTGCGATTCAAGGTTTTATTCCATCAATTCAAAGAAGCCACATAATAATTTTGCATGAGAATTTATAGAAATTGAAACGTTATTATCGGAGTCGTCATCAACTGTCATATTCTATAGGTTGAAACGAGTTTGTGTTCAAGTGCTTATATTTTGGTATTGGCATAAGTGTGGCTCAATTTATGACTCTCATCTCCGCAGCAGAGCGCGATGCACCAACACACATACACACTTTGAAGTAAAGTGCTTTTAGTATTATTGAATATTTATAAGGGAACCATAAAAATGGTGTTCAACCAGTAGAGATAGAGAGACAAAGCAAGAATTTTGTAGATTAAATTTTAGTCAAAGAATTTATCCATCGAAATTTATTTCAGAAATTTGCTTAAAAAATTTCAACAATTTTTGGAAAGTAACATCGCCTTTGTAAACACTTAATGGGTCCAGGGCTCTTTTTCACACACATTTAAAACCGATTGGTTCCAAAAATCAACTATTGAAATATTTGATTTATGGGTTGGATCAAAACAAAAAGAGCGAAAGAGCAAGCATCAATCGATTAAAGCAAGCAAAGCAAGTGTTGAGGTAAATCAAATCCCACTTATGTGTGGCAATGGTATGCGGTGTTGTCAGATGTTCTGTTATGGTAACACTGTAGTTTATCCATTGAAGCATGTGTGCACTTATCCCCAAAAGTAGGGCAAATAAGATATTTACTCTTTTGATTTCTTTTGCATTTCAAAAAGTGTTATGAGCGCTTGTACTTTTGTCTTTAAACCAAAATGTATTCTTAAAGGACGCATTGTATGCAAAAACCATTCATCGATTATGTACTTATGCTTGTGCTTCACTATTCAGGTAAAAAACAGACACCTTTGAATGATTTAGTTGAATTGTCCATGTGCAAGTGTTGATTTAAATGAAGAACAATTTGAACGTTGACACAATAGAGATTTAATTCCCACAAATACAAGATGGGAAAAACAATGCAGCATCATTAGAGCTAAATAATTGATTGTTTGCCTAAGTGATTACTTATCGATGGGTATATTGTAATAACGAACATACACACACAAACACACAGTCATTATTGGAATTGGTTCTTCATTCATGGTCATTTGAATTGCATCTGAAATGTAGTTACTTTGTTTTTAGCTATCATATTGTGATTGGTAAGAGATTAAATCTTTATTAAATTTCGAATTTCAACAATTGACAAATCCATCAGTAACCAAAACACATTGGCCATACGATTCTCGAAACCATTTTCAAAATGCACAATTCAAACAAGCAATGCTCTATTCTTCAATAATGCAGCTTGTTCGCCGACGTTCCATAATATTTGAAGAGTGAATGCAAAAAAATGCACACTGTAAAGCTGCACACATTTATCTATCTTTGTACTTGAATGCAATTAGAACTTCTAAATAGTAGAAAAAAAAGAGTACATCGGAAGAGCTCATGCTAGAGCAAAAAAATCGTCGACACGTTCTTGACACTCATGCTAGACGTATTTATTGCAACTTGTCGCCCATTCATGGCAGCAGAAGGGAAAAAATGCAGTTAAACAATGGGCTTGAATACGTAATTAGCAACACCATGTTTACAACGAGCGGCAACCATCATAGGCACATTTACAGTATTGCATTAAAACGAGATTTATCAGAAATAAAATGGCAAAATATATATATTTCTCGCTTTTCCGAACCACAAAATGCAAATTTCACTCCAATGAAAGAATGTCTCCCTTTACCGAGTACTCATTGAAAAACGAAGTCGTTACACATCGCTCTCACATGCAACAGAATAACGAGATCGTCAACGATATCATCAAATTTTGTACATGACGCCAATTTTGTATAAGAGGCGAAAGAATATCCAATGAAGATATCAGCGTGTTGAAGTTTTCATGACAAAAAAAAATACGAGAAATTCCTTTCTCATTTGCACGTATTCAATTCAAACAAGACTTTTTACGACTCCATAATTTTGTGATACAATATTCAAAACACAATTTTTCTCGTTGAAAGATGAATGTGCAAAAATGACATAAAATTGGTCTTGAAGCAGCAAAAAAAAATATTAATCAGGCGACGAAGAAAAACGTTAATAAATTCCACATATATTTTTCCACCAAATTCATCACATTACTCTTTACACACTTTTTTCACGAACAAAAAAACAAATGAAAAGCCTTTTTATTTTTGGCAAAAAAAAAAATCGGTTTCCAATCATTATAAACCAGAAATATATTATTAATTCACACATGAACATTACTCTTCAACATTAAATTAAAATAACTGTACTATTTAAATAAAATATGTGTAATCTTTTGGTAGCAAAAAAAATATATAAATAGAACATTCTATTTGCACTAATATTAATTAGGACTATTTAATTATATCTGAATAATCACCAGATAAATTCGTTGCAATGTTCGTTTTTTTCCTTCTTTCGTTCGTCTCACAAATGTTCCATTGAGTTTTGTGTTTTTCGTGCGGTTTTACGAACGACAATGAAATACTGTACACAGCACGGAAAAATCGTATAACAACATCATCCGCATCGGTGGTATGTTAGATACTGAAATTTTGTTGTACAGACACACGATGTGCATGGTTGTGATTTTGTGCCATCGCGGCACCGACGGCTACTAGACACCGAAACACGATATAAAATAATATTATTGTTATGAATGATGTGATACAGCACTACTTTTGCCTGCGCGTATGTACTTATACTCGATAGAGCGACGGTTTTGTATATGTATATATGTACGAAACAATAACAATCAGTTTGAAGGAAATGCTGTTTACAATGGAAGACCCCCTTTTTTAAAGCAGTTGCAACATCAAAACAACCAGACAACACACAACAATTTCGCATATTCGGTTCATCATTAGCTGAGGGGAAGTTTTTGTTTATCAATTTGAACGCATGCGCCATGTAGACACTACACGCGGCATATGGCTTTTTTTTATTCAGAATTCAATAAATGCCATTATTATTTGTCTTTGTACATCTTCTTAATATCATTTCGATGCATCTATTTATTAGGATGGAACGTGTCCATTTCTTTGTTTATACACTTATCCACGATCGGTTTCGTTTTCTTTTGAAAATCATTCCCCTTCCTGTATATTTGTCGGCATTTTTTGCATTCATGTATAGTAACTGTCAATTATATACCACAGATTCTAGCACAAATACAAATACACACAGTAAAAGTGGAGAATATGACCGATGACTAAACTGGAATGAAATTCCTTATTTATTTGGATATAATCTTGACAGTTACCATCAAAATATAAACAACTATCATTTCACTTCAGCCAAATTATAATAATTAAAGCATAGGTCATTTGCTACAGTATTGTTCAACGATAAATAAATGGCGCACGTCAGTGATGTTAACACATAACACATGAGGAAGGAATTTCCGAAAAATGAATTTGATTGCAAATAATTTTCAACAAAATAGAATTGTTTCGTGAATCGGGTCGGCTTCGGTGAATTCCTCCATGGACTTAAATCTCTCATAAATCATGATTAATGGGGATATGCAGTTTTAACCAAATTCTCACTGCAAATATTGAAATAATTGTTTACAATCGAAATGGTTTGCTATTATTATTGTCACAATCCATTCGAATAAACCAATTGTCGAATCATTGAAAATCATAACTGCAACGCGCTAACTCAACATTCTTCCAATTGTTCATTCTACACTTTTGTTCAGACAAATTTGTTCTCTTTCTCTCTCTCTCTCTCTCTCTCTCTCTCTCTCTCTCTCTCTCTCTC